GAAAATTAGAATTTTAATAATAACTAGGACGACATAAATCCACTGCAGACTTAATAAGCCACCCGCTCAAACTAGTTTCTCAATTATGACATCCATCCTTTAGTCCTAGGCACAAACAATTCACTTTTCTTATTAAAATCCTAAATTGTGACATTTGAATATCAGATGAGCTTGACAACTTCATGATCTAGAAAGTTATCAGCCTCGGAAGAAAGGAATTCCATGCTTATTTACCCAGATTTCTTTACAATATGACACAATGGAGCCGTGAAAAGGCAGGCTACTGTATGAATCTCACTCTGTAAGGTTTTCCCCTAACACCAGTCTTTGGTGTCTGTGAAACAGGACTACTTTTCCCCCATTGTAATCCTTTGTGGAGAGGAATTCAGGAATGGATAGGAAGGGGGAGATATATAGGATTTCTAACACACTTCTCTGTGTAAAATAACTTACAAATAAACCAAAAGAAAAAATTTACTTTAGTGGACCAACTAATTTCCCTTTTCTTTCATTTGTGGGTTTAAAACAGAAATATTTGCATCAATTTTAACTTAAATGGTATTTTTTCTACTTAAAAGTCACAGGTTAACAATGCAGAATCCCCAAAAGTGTATTCATTCATTTTCTAAAGACACGTTTAAACTTGTTTTAAAAAATTCTATGAAATTCAGTTCAAAATACAGGAAAATACATTTGGGGCACATCTGAATTTAGAAATCCACACCATCTTTAATGAACACCCATTTTGAAAAAGGAGAATTAAAGAAAACAAAAAGCTTTGGAATCAGAACTATCTGACCAATTTACCTATCTTCCCGGCTTGGTTTGCACAATAAATTATACATCTGGTTCTGACAGTCTCTTTCTCAGTTTCTAGGTGTGTGTGTGTGGGGGGGGGGGGGGGAGTCATTTAAAAAACTTCACAAAGAAAAAGGACAAAACCTCTAAATCAAATTATCAGAGCATCACTCTTCAAGTTCCATTCCTGTCTGAAAGCACAATTAAGCACTGGAACCCTAAACCCACTTAATCAGAAGATTCAGCAAACGCAATAAGACTTCCTGAGTAGACATGAACAATTGCACTGTAAAGAAAGTTCAAGTTTGTGTGAAGATTGCGTAGATTCCTGAATACCGCTTATAGGTAGTACACGCAACTCTCAGGACTCACTGCCTTAAAGTAGAAATGCACTTAATCTGACACAAAATGGTCTATTGGCAGCACAAACTCTTCTAGTGTAAATGTTTTCACATGTACCAGTGTATTTATATAGTACTATACTATACCAGCTTTGGTGTATACCCACCTTTTTACATAAACAATAATTATTTGATGAACACTCCAGTTTTCTTGGAAGTATTGGAGTAAAGATTTAATCCAGTGCTAAAAAGGTTATTATAAGGCTACCTTCATTCCCCCCCCCCCCCCCACACACACACACACACCTTCAAAGGACCAGTACTGAGGACTGAACATTTGACTGAAGTCAGCAATGAACCCTGGAATGGGATCTGTAGTAAAATTCCTTAGGAGCAATTTAAGAAGACACGACTCTCTCTATGATGCTTCAGAAACATTTCAGATCCTAAGTATTCTGTGGTGAATTCTTTACTATGCTCTTATCCATTTGAAATGCATTTTTAATTTAAGGAAAGCAATTCAAATTGGGGGGAGTGGAGGTGGTATTTGAGATTATATACTAAAAAAGCATTGTCGCATTTCAAAAGAATGAAATAGTTGTTATCAAAGGCAAAATTCTTCCCTGTGGTATTCAAACTTCTCACAACTTTCACAACTTTCCACAAGGTTGACATAAGAATATTTCTAAAAGAAGTGAAACCTGTAATCAAATGTTTGGGCAGCAAATTTATCTCAAACTATTTGAACTGACAAAAAATGGCTTTAAATCCTTTACAAAGACCACTGCCGATTTAAAGTTTTTTAAAAATATTCTTTGCTTGAGCTTTCCCAATAGTTCAATGCAACCCAATGACGACAGTATTACTTTTTGCTGCTAATGTTGACCAGGCTATAGCAAGCATACTAAAATGCCTACTTCCAAACAATCAGAATAAAAACTACTATTGGGGCTCATTTTAAAAAAATAGTTTTTAAATTTCAGCACTATTTTCAAGTTTTGAGAGAAGTGTATATGGATGCATTCGGTACTCTCAGTGCAATGTCATTTCTAAACATGTTAGGCCTAAATATATAGTAGATACGACTTAACAAATTTGAAGCACCCCCAAAGCATTTAATTTTTGAAATTTGCCTATTTTCTGCTTTTATGCCTTCACAAATGTTTGCCTCTTCTTTGCAGAAGGCATTGGCACTACTGCTCCCAACGCATAAAGTAGGATTCCAGCTAATTTTAGTTCATGCTGGCTGGACCAAGAGATGACGGAAAAAATTAAAATGCATAGGTAGCATTAAAAAGGAAAGACTTAATATACATCCACAAAAGCTGAGAAGACACTGACTAGAATACCGACCTGGACCAAAACCAGCAATAAATTCATTAAAAAAGATAAAGCAACAAAGACCAAAGTCATTTAAGAAACAATCTCTTGTAACCTCTATTTATTACTGCTACTCCATGAGGAAACAATAATTTAAAAGCCTATTTTAAAGTCCCATTAATTAGAATAAAACAATTAAACATTTATTGCATCCAGAACATGAACAAATATGCATGTAGCGGACTCCTGTGAGATAGAAAAATACCAGTCTATCACCCTAAAGTTTTCTATTTTACTGAGTGGACCTAATTCAGAGAGTCGGTCTTTCGGCTATCGATTGCCAGTCAACTTATTTGCCAGGGGGGAAAAAGTTATTTCACAAACAAGGGGTGGCCAGAAAAAAAGAAAAGAAGAAAAAGAGCCAAACTGCCAATAATAATAATAATAATAATAATAATAATAATAATAATAATAATATGCCCCGTTTCAGATTCTACCTCTGGCTCCTACTCCCAAGTATACTCCTCAAGCCCATACTACCTTTTGAGTCGCTCCTGTCCTGTCAATCACAATAAATTGTAATTCACCGACACACTTCCAGGACGGATTGATCTGCAGAAACCCCAAAGCGGTTTTGCTGCAACATCGACTCCTCAACCCAATCCACATTATTCACACAACTGGGGTGAAGGGAGAGAGAGAAAAGAAGAAGAAGGGGGAAAGGGGGAGAAAGAGGGATAGAAAAAAAAAGGGGGGGGAATCCAGACTTCCTTCCTTCTTTTCCCCCCACAAAGGCCAAAAGAGCCTCCCATTCCAGAAGTACAAGGATGGGCCAAAAAGTCACAATATAATATGGGTTTAATAACTTTTTCCATAAAGATTTTCACACCTAATATAATTCAATTGCATCCCCTATATATACTCTCTACTATATATATGTGATGCAAAGGCACCTGATGGATTTAATAACTTTTTTGGAAAAGATTTTCACACTGAATGTAATGCAATTGCATCCCCTATATATACCCTATATTATAAATGCAATGTAAAGGTACCTGGTGGGTTAAATAACTTTGTTCAAAGAGATGATTGCACCTAACGTAATGTAACTGCGTCCCCTATATATACTGTCTACTATATATATACGATAGAAAGGCACCTGGTGGGTTTAAAAACTTTTTTTGGCAAAGATTTTCACACCTAATATAATGCAATTGCATCCCCTATATAATATCTCCACTATATATATGCGATGGTGGGTTTAATAACTTTTCTCCAAAGAGATTTTCACACCTAACGTAATGCAATTGCATCCCCCATACCCCTATATATACTCTCTACTATATATATGTGATCTAAATTGTAAATGTAAAAAAAGAAATAGGGGTGAGAAAGGCGATATATAAATACAGTAAAATAAATAAATATTACAGCAAATAAAAAATAATAAATAAAGGCTAAATAAATAATACGGTAAATATAAATAATAAAATAAATAAATAATAAAGGCTAAATAAGTAATACAGTAAATAGAAACAGAAATGTAAAAAATAGGGGTGAGAAAGGCGGTATATAAATACAGTAAATAAATAAATATTACAGCAAATAAAAATACTAATAAATAAAGGCTAAATAAATAATACGGTAAATATAAATAATAAATTAAATTAAATAAATAATAAAGGCTAAATAAGTAATACAGTATATATAAATAAATAAATAATAAATGAAATGAGTTATTACAGATTGAAAACCCTTGTTGTCACTCTTTGTATCCCGCTTCTACGCACATATTTCTTTACACTCACACATTTCAATGGACCACCGAATTTAATCAGAAATGCTGCCAAAAATAATAACATATTCATTCAAACCTACAGAGAGTGATATACAACGAGGGGCACGAAGCAGTTTCCCCAAGTCTTCCCTGAACTAGACATACACAAAATACACACACACATCCCATATGCTTCAGAGACCTTGGCTGAAAAAAAAGTTACTTTTACCCCGACCCCCCTTCCCTTGCAACCTCAAAAGTTACTTTTACCCCGATCCCCCCTTCCCTTGCAACCTCTCAATATCTCTCTCTCTCTTTCTCTTTGTCTGAAGACCAAGACCCGGAAGTTTCTTCCGAGGGTGAGGAAAAAAACCCACAAAGGACACACATACACACACACAAATAGAACGAGGAGGAGAAGCCCCAGCACGAGACGCCCCAGAACAACAACAACATCCTTCTTTTTTGGGGGGGAGAGGAGGAGGGAGGGGGGAAAGGGGAAGAGGAAGCGAGGGAAGTGCGGATCTCCTCTCACACCTGTTTCCCGCCACGACACACCTGAGAAAGAGGGAGAAGGAGGAGGAAGAGGGAAGGAGGAAGAGGAGGAAGAGGAAGAGGAGAACACGTCGCCCCCCCCCCCCCTTCAGTCCAGCATTCCCCATGCAATCCCTCTTTCCCCTTAGGAAACACAAACACAACTGAAAAGTCGCCAAGGAAACTTTTCTGTTGTTGTTGTTGTCGTTGTTTCCAGCCATCCCACCAACCTGTTCTCCCTTTCGGCTTGGAAGCAAGCGAGTCTCAACTTTGAACGGCCCCCTTTTTTCCCTTTCCTCTTTCACTTCCTCCTCCTCCTCAGAGCATGCGGCTTGCTTCACGCCTCTTCCTCCTCTTCCTCCTCCTCCTCCTCCTCCTTCTGTCCAAAGTTTAAACCCCTCGGAGACAAAGAAGGAGAGGGAAAGAGAAAGGGAGGAAAGCAGCAGCAGCACTTCTCACGTACTTTTCTTTTTTGTTTGGCTCCTCTCTTGTCCTTCAGCGGCGGCGCGAAAGGAAGGGAGGAAGGGGGGGTTCCTCTCCCTCTCTTTCTCTCTCTCTCTCTGTTTCTTTCTTTCTCTCTTGTTTCTCCTTCTTCTCCGTTTTCCTCAATGGAAGTCTCCCGGGCGGGAGGGGAAGAGGGAGGGAAGGAGGGAGGGGAGTCTCTGCGTGCCTTGGGTCCCTCCTCTCTCTCTCGCTTTCCTTCCCTCTTTCTCTCTCTCTCTCTCTCTCTCTGTGTCCCATTCAGACGGCGTCTAATCGCAGGGGTTGGTTGTCTCTCTTCAGGAGAGATGTGACTTGAGAGCCGGGAAAGGGAGGGAGGGAGGGGAGGGGAGGGGTGGCGCGCGCACAGACTTACTTCCACTTCTACCATAATTCATCTAAAAGCAGGTGCAGCGCCTTTTCCAGGGAGCGCGCGGGCCGGGGAAAGGGAAAAGAGAGGGAGCGGGGCATCAAAGAGGGGGGAAGGGAAGCCGCGGGGGGTCAAAAAGGTACCCGCCCTGGAAATAAAACAAAACACTTTCTTCTGCAGGCTGGGCGAGAGAGGAAGGGGGGAAAGGAAGCCAGGCTTCTGAAAAGGGATGCCCCTTCTCTGAAACTCTTCTTGTACTGTTTGGGTGTCTTTCTCGAGCAGGCATGGGCAAACTTGGTCCCTCTCTCCAGACGTTTGGGACTTCAACTCCCACAATTCCTACTGCAATGCACCCTGAGCCCTGCCACATGCACAATGGAGGACCTTCTTGCAGCAACACCAGAGGCACTCCAGGTGGCCAGCTACTGGTCAAAGGACATTGAATAGAACACCAAGTCTGCACATTTTGTGTTTTGTTTGTTTGTTTGTCTGTAAGGGGCTTGATGAATGCAAAGCTGGGGTGAAAATTGCTGGAAGAAACATTAACAACCTCAGATATGCAGATGACACCACTCTGATGGCCGAAAGTGAGGAGGACCTGAGGAGCATTCTAATCAAGGTGAAAGAAGAAAGCGCAAAAGCCGGGTTACAGCTAAACGTCAAAAAAACCAAGATTATGGCAACAAGAATGATTGACAACTGGAAAATAGAGGGAGAAAATGTGGAGGCCGTGACAGACTTTGTATTTCTAGGTGCAAAGATTACTTCAGATGCAGACTGTGGCCAGGAAATCAGAAGACGCTTACTTCTTGGGAGAAGAACAATGTCCAATCTCGATAAAATAGTAAAGAGTAGAGACATCACACTGGCAACAAAGATCCGCCTAGTCAAAGCCATGGTATTCCCTGTAGTAACCTACGGATGTGAGCGCTGGACCTTAAGGAAGGCTGAGCGAAGGAAGATAGATGCTTTTGAACTGTGATGTTGGAGGAAAGTGCTGAGAGTGCCGTGGACTGCGAGAAGATCCAACCAGTCCATCCTCCAGGAAATAAAGCCCGGCTGCTCATTGGAGGGAAGGATACTAGAGACAAAGTTGAAGTACTTTGGCCACATCATGAGGAGACAGCAAAACCTAGAGAAGACAATTATGCTGGGGAAAGTGGAAGGCAAAAGGAAGAGGGGCCGACCAAGGGCAAGATGGATGGATGGCATCCTTGAAGTGACTGGACTGACCTTGAAGGAGCTGGGGGTGGTGACGGCCGACAGGAAGCTCTGGCGTGGGCTGGTCCATGAGGTCATGAAGAGTCGGAGTCAACTGAACGAATGAACAACAAAAAAATTAATGTATTTATTTATTTATTTTATTTGGTTTACTTTTACCCCGCCCTTCTCACCCCGAAGGGGACTCAGGGCGGCTTACACATCCAAGGCACAATTTGATGCCCGTAACATACAACAGTAATAAAACAGAATAGCGCAAATTAGCAATCGACAACAATGCATTACATCTATACCCGCTAAAACCAATACAATTTCATACAAACCGATACAAACCAATTACTCCATATTGCCGGTCAATGTTCACTAGCTCATAGTTCAGAGTTTCCTTCCACATTTATCAGTCCTGCTGGTCCTATTTGTCTGGTTGTCCTTCCTAGTTAGCAGATTGTCCGAAGGCCTAGTCCCACAACCACGTCTTTACCTTCCTCCTGAAGGACAGGAGTGATGTCGATGCCCTGATATCCATTGGAGTGAGTTCCACAGGTGAGGGGGCACCACTGAGAAGGCCTTGCTCCTCGTCCCCACCAGCCTCGCTTGGGAAAGCGGTGGGGTCGAGAGCAGGGCCCCCTCAGATGATCTTAAATTCCATGGTGGGACGTAGAGGGAGATACGTTCGGACAGATACGCAGGACCGGAACCGTACAGGGTTTTGTAGGTCAAAACCAGCACCTTGAATTGGGTTCAGAACTGAACCGGCAGCCAGTGGAGCTGACACAGCAGAGGGGTGGTGTGCTCTCTATATGTCGCCCCAGTGAGCAGCCTAGCTGCCGCTCACTGGACCAGTTGAAGTTTCCGAACCGTCTTCAAGGGCAACCCCACGTAGAGTGCGTTGCAGTAGTCTGTTCGGGATGTAACAAGAGCATGGACCACTGTGACCAGATCAGACTTCCCAAGGAACGGGCGCAACTGGTGTCCTAACAGCCTTAGGCCCTTTCCTTTTCCCCCTCAAGGAAAGGGCCTGAGGCTGTTAGGAGTTGTGGGAGATGAAGTCCAAAACACCTGGAGGGAGGAGGGCCCAAGTTTGCCCTTGCCTGAGCAGGGATCCTCAGACTTTTTAAACAGAGGGCCAGGTGACAGTCCCTCAAACTGTTGGAGGGCCAGACTATAATTTGAAAAAGACATGAATGAATTCCTATGCACACTGCACATATCAGGAGCCCCCGGTGGTGCGATGGGTTAAACCCCTGTGCCGGCAGGACTGAAGACCGACAGGTCGCAGGTTCGAATCCGGGGAGAGGTGGATGCCCTCTATCAACTACAGAGGCGGATGCCCTCTATCAACTACAGCTCCTCATGCGGGGACATGAGAGAAGCCTCCCACAAGGATGATAAAAACATCAAATCATCCGGGCGTCCCCTGGGCAGCGTCCTTGCAGATGACCAATTCTCTCACACCAGAAGTGACTTGCAGTTTCTCAAGTGGCTCCTGACACAACAAAAAAAAAACCCTGCACATATCTTATTTGTAGTGCAAAAAACACTTTAAAACAATACAGTGATTAAAATGAAGAACAATTTTATCAAATATAAGTTTATTAGTATTTCAATGGGAAGTGTGGGCCTGCTGATGAGATAGGATTGTTGTGTGCTTTCAAGTTTTTTCAGACTTAGGTTGACCCTGAGTGAGGGCCGGGTAAATGACTCTGGAGGGCCGTATCTGGCCCCCAGGCCTTAGTTTGAGGACCTCTGGTCTAGAGAGATAATTGGGGTAATGTTGTTGTTAATTACTATTAGTAATTATTTCATTTTTTTCTGTATTTACAACATATATATGCCGCCCTTCTCACCCCGAAGGGGACTCGGAGCAGCTTACAAGATATATATACATACAATATATATTATTAGCATCATACAATATCAGTATTAAATATTACTACATTGTACTATATCATTATATTATAATATTATTAGTAATATTACATGTAATATAAATATATAGTTATAATATATTATTACTATTAGTAGTATTATATTACATTGTTGTTGTTCATTCGTTCAGTTGTTTCTGACTCTTCGTGGACCAGCCCACGCCAGAGCTCCCTGTCGGCCATCACCAGCCCCAGCTCCTTCAAGGTCAAGCCAGTCACTTCAAGGATCCCATCCATCCATCCATCTTGCCCTTGGTTGGCTCCTCTTCCTTTTTCCTTCCATTTTCCGCAGCATAATTGTCTTCTCTAAGCTTTTCTTTCTTCTCATGATGTGGCCAAAGTACTTCATCTTTCCCTCTACTATCCTTCCTTCCAATGAGCAGTCAGGCTTTATTTCCTGAAGTATGGACTGGTTGGATCTTCTCACGGTCCAAGGCACTCTCAGAACTTTCGTCCAGCTCCACAGTTCAAAAGCATATTTCTTTCTAACAGGAATTGTGGGAGTTGCAGTCCAAATCACCTGGAGGTCCGAAGTTTTCCCATACCTGCTATAGAGAGATAAAGTGTAGCATTGTTGGGTTGTTGAAAGTTTTTTCGAGGTTGTATGGCCATATTCTAGAGGTATTATTTCTTGACGTTTTGCCTGCATCTATGGCAAGCATCCTCAGGTAGTGAGGTCTGTTGGAACTAGGAAAAAGGATTTATATATCTGTGGAATGACCAGGGTGGGACAAAGGACTCTTGTCTGCTGGAGCTAGGTGTGAATGTTTCAATTGATCACCTTGATTAGCATTTGAATGGCCTGACAGTGCCTGGAGCAAACTTTTGTTGAGAGATGATTAGATGTCCTTGTTTGTTTCCTCTGTTGTTGTGCTGTTGTAATTTTAGAGTTTTTTAATACTGGTAGCCAGATTTTGTTCATTTTCATGGTTTCTTCCTTTCTGTTGAAATTGTCCACATGTTTGTGGATTTCAATGGCTTCTCTGTGTAGTCTGACATGGTGGTTGTGAGAGTGGTCCAGCATTTCTGTGTTCTCAAATAATATGCTGTGTCCAGGTTGGTTCATCAGGTGCTCTGCTATGGCTGACTTCTCTGGTTGAATTAGTCTGCAGTGCCTTTCATGTTCCTTGACTCATGTTTGGGCGCTGTGTTTGGTCATCCCTATGTAGACTTGTCCACAGCTGCATGGTACACGGTAGACTGCTGCAGAAGTGAGAGGATCCCTCTTGTCCTTTGCTGAACGAAGCATTTGTTGGATTTTCTTGGTGGGTCTGTAGATTGTTTGTATGTTGTGTTTCCTCATCAGCTTTCCTATGCGGTTAGTGGTTTCCTTGATGTATGGCAAGAACACTTTTTCTCTGGGTGGATCTTCGTCTTTACTTTCGTGGCTTGTTCTCGGTTTTGCAGCTTTTCTGATGTCTGAGGTGGAGTATCCATTGGCCTGTAGAGCCCAGTTGAGATGGTTCAGTTTAACATTGTTGTTGTTG